CTATTATTTATATTAAAGTACAGTACAATGTTACATGAAATGACTAGGATGCCCCTGATTAGTGATGGGTTACCCAGACAACTTAAAACACTAAACAGACTTAGGCCCATTAACACAGGCCCAGTACATAACAACTTAAACTCAAATACAGGCTAATAAGAACTCTTAACAGCCGAACCATCAATACATACAAAACCTTCAACCTAACACTGAATATCCATGGAGTCTTTCCATCATGTTTTAGCCAGCTTATAATCACTTTGGAGTCACCTTCAACAACCAACTTTCTCACACCTATTTCCATGGTTTTTTGTATTCTGAAAACCATTGCTTTTAGTTCAGCTGTAATGGAGTCCTCCCACCCAATAGGGCCGGAAAAGAGCCCCACTACACTCCCCGTGTCATCTCTAATAACCCCACCAATTCCAGCCATGCCCGGTTTGCCAAAACTCCTCCCATCAAAATTTAACTTGAGGAAACCAGATTCAGGAGACCCCCAACTCCTTACTGCCTTCTTTTTTGCAGATGACAAGGATGCAACAGTCCTCCAATTCTGAAAATATCATCCACAGTGAAATCTAAGAATAAGTCCATCGATTTTACCCATGAGATCACCTTTAACATTATCCCTTCTATCAGTATTTCCTTGCACCTTTTCTTTCCTTAAAAAATTCTCTGATTTCTTTCCTCCCATAACATCCAAAGTACTGCTGCCCGTATCTCCACATGGTTTTCCTCTTCTTTTTGGCCACCTGAAAGTGGAGGCTTCAAACAGTCTTGCCAAGCTCACCGGGGTGTCCCACCTGCATCCAAAGAGAGAAAAACCTAAGCAATCAAAATGTTACCTGATGATGGATATGCATAACATAGATTCTTTTTAGAGGAAAAGATGATTGTATTCATCTCAGTTTCGAATATCAAAGGATACACTGGATGCCAATAAATCAGGACATACAGACCAAGTGAAAATAGAATTACAATTCAATGCATGTTTAGCAAGGGCATGAGCCACTGTATTTGCTTTTCGACTGACATGAGAGACTGAATATGAAGATAGGCGTTGAAGTGGTCCCTTGCAATCAGTAATAACAGTGTGAATACACCATGGTGGAGACAAAGAGTCCACCAATAGGAGATCAACAATCTATTTTGCATCACCTTCAAAAATGACTGCATCAATATTCAACTCCAAAGCTCTTGAGAAAATATAACTACTCATATAGTCACAAAGCACAATACCAGCCCCAGCTTTGTTGGTTCCAACAGCATTGGCAATGTTCATCTTCAGCCATCTAATATTTGGTTTAGACCAAGGCAGAGAAGTTATAGGAGATTGATTAGAATAGTGAATC